GATCGGTGGTTTATCTAAATAATCAATTTACCATCAAGTATGTAAAATAGAATACTAGATTTTTTTGCAATCAGTCAGACTCAGTGATTCTATATTTTTATACAGTTTTTTTTTTTAATAATTATGTGTCATCATCCATTAAACTATATTTTTTTTTTCAGATCCGACGACAACTTAATATCTATATAAACAGAGGTAAAAAAAATCATATGCACTACTTGAGTGTAAAGGAGGTTGAGAATAGAGAGTATGGGAAATTGCCTCCGTTCAATGATGAGGCATATCTGAACATATGGACCCCATTGAAAATAAGCGTATGTCTTCCATGGACAATCCAGATTAAGTATCAACAACTGTTTTAAGATTTAATGATTTTAGTATGTTTACATGTCTGCTATTGTTTTATACTACTTTTGTAATGTTTTATATCGATATTTGATCAAATAAATCTTTCTATCAAAATATTTATATTGGCTTGGGAATATTAAAGTAAATCATAAGAAAAAAAAAGGTTTTCGAACTGCGATACCATAGTGCATTTCCCATCTAATTCTGTGCTAAAATCGACCAAGGCATTCAGAAATAATCACGAATACATTAACACACATATTATTGATTGACAAGCGGAAAGATATCTTTTTACTTTGACTAATGTACTTAAAGGTGAATGACTGACTTTTACAAACTGTAACAATTAATTCATAAATTTTAATATGTAAATATTAAAATAATTTATTTGACGGTATGACAAGTAACATTGTAATCCTTAACGGTATATAAACAAATAAACTGCACAGGTATGCCCTCTTCATGTCGCAATACAAACATCACGTACACCCCAGGAAAGCCATGACTTAACTAACGAAAGTATTTTTACCTCAGTTGGTCGAGTGGTCTAGGGCGCTTGACGCAATGCAGGCAGTGTAATTGTTCAGGTCTCAAAGGCCGAGTAGGTATCCCATTAAGGGAACGATATAGATTTGCATACGCAATAATGCAGTTCTATTGCTTCAAGACGAAATTAAAAGTACACATGTAGTAGAGTTGACGCAAGAAAATAGGTATGAATGAAAAAGTAAAAAAAATATGATAATGAACATTAAAATTGAGAATGGAAATGGAGAATGTGTCAAAGAGACAACAACCCGACCGAAGAGCAGAATACAGCCCAAGGCCACCAATGGGTCTTCAACACAGCGAGAAAATCCCGCACCCCGAGGCGGGCTTCAGCTGGCCCCTAAACAAAAATGTGTACACTAGTTCAGTGAAAATGGAAGTCATACTAAACTCCAAAACATATAAATGAACTAAAATTAAAAAAAACCATACAAGACTAATAAAGGCCAGAGGCTCCTGACTTAGGACAGGCGCAAAAATGCGGCGGGGTTAAACATTTTTTGTGAGATCTCAACCCTTAATATCTTTTACGGTATATTAAAAAATGAACTGTACCATCTTTATATGCCAGTACACATCGTGTATTTGTGTTACAAGCCTAAATGAGGCCGACGATGAAATCATTATAATGCAGTTTTAACAATTTTGCCATGAATTCAAGACATATAAGGTGTAAATAACAAATATTGCATCTTGGAATCATAGTAAAGGATACAATGATTCCAAGAGACACTATTTTGTTATATATACCTTCAATGTCTTGAATTCATGCCAACAAAATTACAACTCTTTATGATTATTTTTTTCAGTTAACCCTTATAGTATAACAATGGAATTCAAACCTTATAATAAATGGTATAAATCCATGATATGTAGAAATCATCATGGATTCATAAAAAAATATTAATTGGCCAAATATATATTTCAAACGCCATTACAAAATACTACCTATCACGAATTGTTAAACTTTATAACAGTTTCTCTATATGATTACTTTATGTAAAAAAACTCAATATATTGCCTGTTGTGCAGTTTTCGAAACCCCTTTCCGGAAAATGAACTGTTGACCGAGAAACATAATTATCTTTGACTGTTGGCTGATTCTGATCTGTTGACCGCCTCAATAGAATACTGTATTTCATTGGTCAGTCATGAATAGTATTAAGTCGGATGTTTCTTTTGTCACAAATCACTTTCAGTCCAAAGATCTTTGTGCAAACATTTTTTTTTAATTTAGATTAGTTTTTTTCAATATAAATTTATTCAGTGAACACATGTTGTTATTTATTTTAACTTTTGAGTTAAGAAAAGCGAACTTCTATTTAGGATAACACGAACCCCACCAAATACCGGGATAAATAAACAGGCGCGCCGAGATGGCCACAGACCACAATTAAATTCCCCTATTATTTCTTTATAACGTTTTGTTTCATTAAAAAAATTGCACCATGCATTTTTGTCAAATCTTTTGTGTGTGTAATGTATAGTACTAGTCCAAAAATATATACAAAATTCAGAAAGATTGAACCAATGACTCTTACAAATTTAGCCAATACACATCCATACCCCTATGGACAAGTCAAGAGATGTTCCGAAAACTGTAAATATCACCTTTTTGCACCTGGCCTAATCACTCTTTCCATATCAAAATCAGTTAAAATACAACATCCAAAAGTTTATTTCACCTCTCTTCTTTTATTTCCACCCAAAAAAAACTAAGAAATGAGTGAGGAAAGGAAAGATAAAAAATTAAGAAAAAATACACTCTAATTAAAAGGAACTATATTCGTAAGCAGGATCATTAATTGTGGTCTTGGGCCAGATGGCTACCTCCAGGTTAGTCCAAATAATTATGACGTCTTGAAAGGCTATTTTATTTTTTCGCTTCGACGCCTTCCTGCGACGTCATAACGCCGAAGCCATTTTTTCAGTTGGACTTTGAGAGAGAATTTACTGCTTTTTTAAAACGTTTAGGGAACGACCATTTAACCTCAAAAGGGGGGGGGGGGGGGGTGTTATGGTTTTTCCCTAAAAAATGTTCTGATCCCCAATTTGATGGCAAAAATGTTGTGGTCAAGCAGATGACAAAAAAAATATTCTGAATCCAGATTTTCCCCATACCTTATAGTGTTGTTTAATCTCATAAGAAAAAAAAAATAATTTGATTGATAGCGTCGAAAAACTGAAAAAAAACATTTTTCTGACTGAGACAAAAATCCATACCCCCCCTCTCCCCCCTGTGAAGTTAATGGTTGCTCCCTTAGCTGATTTCCCAAGACGCTTCATTTAAGGAGAGCATAAAATAAATTTTTGAACAAAACTCAATGAAATTTGACAGACCTGAATTTCCGGATAACATAAAACGAACGTTCCGGAAATTCGGGTCTGTCAAATTTTACCAAGTTTGGTGTAAAAATTAATTTCATACTCTCCAAAAGAGAAGCATCTTGGGAAATCAGCTAAACGTTTTAAAACATTAATGGAATTGCAACTTATTTTATCATTACTTTTGGAAATTATTCGAAATATTTTGCACCAACAAACACATAAAATAAAGAATTTGTATATATGCAAAAATTTCTAGCCGTCAATGAAAATTTTATGGCTAAATTGGGTCTCAAAGTTGAGAGAGAAATTCCCTCTCAAAGTCCAACCAAAAAAATGACCAGCGTTATGACGTCGCAGGAAGGCGTCAAAGCAAACAAAATAAAATAGCCTTTCAAGACGTCATAATTATTTGGACTACCTCCAAGTGGTTCAAAAAGTTCGATTTATTCTTCCCATGGATTTTATATTTGCAAGATAAAACGAATTGCATTAGTGAGATGCAGTGCTTTGACGGGAAATTAGAAATCACATCAACATTGATAAAACTGAATTGTAACTGAGAAAATTTTGAAATCTGATTTCCTCTATCTTCTTTACAATAAGTTTCTTAATTTACTTAACAATCAAGAATCATTTAATTAAAGCTGTTTCTTGTTTGGCTCTGGTATATATTTTCGACCAAAGGGTCATAGGTTTATAGAATACTTTTATCATATTAGGTTTGAGGGCCTGAAAATGATGGGGTCTGTCATGGGAAGATAGGTATTCGGGAACAAGGAATAGAAATTGAGATTCAGAGGAGGAAAGTTTGAATTACTTAGCACATAAATATTATCTCAAATGAACAAAAAACAACATTAAGGGCAATAAAAAATAACAAGACGAAGAAAGAAAACAACTAAATGGTCATTGGAAAAATGCAAACCTCTAGGTGTAACTAAAGATATGAAGCAGACCTAACTGTATCAGTGTTATTCTTTCTTTCGAGTTCAATTGTTTTTTAAATTCTGTTTGAAAAAACCCTGTATGAAGTCTGACTCATTCGAATGAAGGAACTAGTCGGTGAGAAGATGAGCACAGTTTGTTCACTTAGGAATACCGACTATCTGTAACAGATCAACAGTTGATATACCCTTCTACCGGACATAGCAAATATGCTGCCAAAAAATAGCATCTTTTAAATAAGGTCAGTTTCAGAAGAAGAAAAAAATAAATTAGAGTGTTTTTGAACTCTGATTTATCCCTTCCTTAAATAAGATATTTGTATATATACGTTGGCCATTTTGTTTTAGTGGGACCTTCCTTCGGTTAAGTTTAGTATGAGAAATACTTGTGTATAATGTAGTGAAGTCAAATGGTTTAATTTTACTGTACGAGGAGAGCTACTTTCATTGTATGTGTTTTAATAGACCCTCGGAAATTTAGTTTCTTATTCACACCGCCCCGAGTAGGTAGTTTCATAGTAACTCTGAACCAAGGTCTTGATAACTGACATAGTAGATGTTAGTAATTTGGAAAATATTGTATGATTTCTAATATATCTCAGGAAATTTAGCATCTGATTCATGCCGAGGTAGTAGGTAGTTATATATTTACTCTGAATCAAGATTGTGATAGCTGATTAAATATAAGTTAGCACTTTAGAAAGATGTTTCGTGGAACATTCCGCATTATGCCGCTGTCTTAAGAACACATTTGAAAGTTTGGTATCCAGCTGATTGATGAACGATTAAGTTCTTCATATGGTTAAAATTTCAAAGGAACATTTAACATACCTTAAATTGTTTAAGGCTTCCTCTTCTGTAAATGCCGTTGCAATGTATTTTGGTTTCCAAATGAATTGTCAGTACCTAATAACCTTATCAAGCAGTTTATACAATGTGTTGTGCACACAAAAACTATATTGTCTGTGTCTCTGTCTGCGGGGAAAACAACATAACTGTCATGCTAACACCTTTTGTAGAGAAGTGTTGTTGACAATGTTAAGGTTACTGCTTATAAAGTACCAGCCGAATTATATATGATTTGGGAACTTGTTCAAGTTTAGCCGTGAAGTCGTCAATATTGAGATCACAAACACGTGTTTGTAGTTAAAACGTTTACTTGCAATAGTTGTATGAAAGGAAAAAGAGATAATTGGAACAGACATATCATAGATGTCGGGATTTATCTTAAATTCGTGGAATATGTCTAAATTGTTGCCATCAGGACCTTGTTGGCTAAGAGAAGATTAAGAATGGAGTGTAAAGGTTTCTCAGCTAACAGGTCTAAAAAATATGTCATGGGTAATGTTCGAAATGATAGTTGTTATGTTGTATTGGTTATGATTAAAATTGGGATTTGTATCAGATGTTTCTATGATTTGTATCAGATGTTTCTATGATTTGTACATATAGTTTAGTTTCAAAAGTAGTGTTGAATAAGGCTTCGTGCTTATTTATTGGAATATCATGGTGAATAGATGACGTGTAATGCTAACGACCATGACTGCGTCTATCCGAGGAGCAGAGTTGACAACATCACATTAACCGTACTAAGGAAGGAACGAATTAGAATACCTATACCATCAATATTGTCATTACAGCCATAGGGTGTTGCAGTTTTTATTTCTAGAACACAGTAGCTCCCTTTTATCTAAGGAGAAATTATGGTTAGGGACAACTGTTAGTTCTGTGGTATCTATTTTCGATAATGTGTAACCGCATAGAAAGGAAATTGAATGATCCATTTGATGGAAATGTTGATAAATTCTGCCATTCGCATTGTTGTTGATGTCTGGTTTATGATCACACAAATGCCAACTTCCAAAGGTTACACTCTTATCCGTTAACAAACGTAAAGGTTAAATACCGACTGGATTTTTTCCAGTCCGTTGCTAATAGCTGGAATTATCTATACCGAAAGGTTTGGAAAAGATTCTTACATGTCTCAAACACTATACTGCATCAGTTCTCCTCTTTAAAATTGTACTGATGCGGCGTAAAGCAAACACCAATCAATCAATTTTCTTTAAAAAGCATTTTATACATACCGTTAAAAGGAATACAGAACTGAATATAAAATTGATTGATTGGTTGATTATTGTTTAAAGTCGCTTCAGAGCAGAATCTATTAATCCGAAAGCATCATTTACTAGTATCTATAAATCCGAAAGCATCATTTTCTAGTACATGCCATTCATCTCATTAGAGTAAAACAAAACAATGTAGTATTGTGAAATGTGTTAAAGGTGTTAAAGGTATGTTAAGAATTTAACGATAGATATCAAGCAAACATGTTATTTTCTTTTGAGGTCGAAATAGATTTAAATAATCCTGAAGGTTATTTACCTCAAAACTGTTAAATGAGATCCGCACGGTGATGGAACAAAGTGTACCCGCAATGCTATATCTAAAGAATTAAATTAGACATAAAGTCTACAGGTCTTGTATTACATGTTTTTACAAACATATTAATGACATAATAAGGGTACTATGACATGTTTTTTTAAACATGAGTTTAAAAAATAGGACTTGTTCGAAGTTTAATATTCTATTTGCATAATGTAAAAAAACAAAATAAAAAAAAAAACTGCGATATAAACTTTTGACGCTAATACACTTAAATGTAAGCTTTTATTTCTACCTTTTGGCACTGCAGCATTGATGTTTTGCCCATTTACACTGAATTTCATCGAATTCAAACTGGTTTTGCTATCTAACAGGGTTATATTTTAGCAGATAGTAAAAGTTTATGATTTTTAAAATACTATTCTAGAAAAATGGTTTTATTCAAAATGTACCTCATGAGTACAGTCAATATTATAAGTAGAGTAATCTTGATGCAATAATACTTGGGTCCTAATATGTTAAACGTTGCATTATTTAACATTATATAATAGTTATTATTTGGTTTACATTCATCGGCATAAATTACCTTATCGTCAGCATATTGGTCTGTATGTCTTTTTTTTTACCTGGCTACGAAAATGTTAGGCTATGAGCTAATAAATTTATAACAGTTGATCAGTATATGAACATCTCCATCTTTATGACTTTTTGTGATATCAAAACTAGCAGGAAAACATACTATGCCATTTATCGTAAGGGTAGAATAGTCCAGGAATTTTTAGGATCCATTCAAAATGCTAAACTTTTCTGGAACAGTGAAAACTTTCCGATCACAGAAAACCTGGTTTTACAAATTTTACTGCATCTGACGCGCATTTCGACAATTAAAGGGTCACACAAATATTTTTTTATAGATAAAACTGGTTCATGGCGTGAGAACATTTATGATATCTTTGACATAACAAGAAACTTAACAATGAAAGTTTTTTTTACCAAAAAAGCATCTCTCCAGCAATTACAAATACAATTTGATATAATTTCCAAAATCTATTAACCCTAACATAAAAAGAAAAATACCCAAGGGGCGTTATAAATGATAGATAGCATAACTTGACTCACTAATTATATCCCAGCTTTCTACATATATATATATATATTGCATAATCTAAGTTTTCCTCAGGGTGGGGAACAGCAATCAGCAGTCGAATCAACAACTTATATGAGAGGTAAACTGAGGACTTTATGAAAGTATTATCAAAATCCATTCATTGGTTTAGGAGGCATTGCGGATACAAAGCACGGACATACGAACGAAAAATATCTTCTGCTTCTTTTCAAATATCTTTATTTGTATTTGTGTGTGGGATTTAAAGAACTTCATTTTGCATATTTCTTGGTTATACTATCAAAAGAAAATGATTTGAAATGAAGGAAACATTACGCTGAAAATTTGCTAAACCTGAATGACAGCGTTAATAGTATAAAGGCTAATTTTAACCTTTCTACACGAGCAGTTAGACAGTTTGGCCCTTTACCAAGTGTTTTGTCCTTCACTGAAGTTTTAAGCATACCATCGATATTGTTATTACATAGTGACTAACATTTGAATAATTTCGTCAACATATTTTAATAAATATATTAATATGTACAAACAAATGGATAAATATTACACAATAATGTCTGTTTTTCTATGTACATTTCATTAGTAATTTAGAACTAATCTCCTAAGTTCAACGACCAATTATTAGATTACTTTTTATTATATAACAAACATATGTAACAAACATATTATACAACCTACTTCCCGTCGTTATCAAATTTATCACTACAAAAATGTACATTACTATTCATAGTATGATAGTACACGGAAACTTGTGTTGAGCAAACATAATCCTACAGAACCCAAAACCACCCATTTCTTTGTCGATAAATGAAGTAGACATTTACAATTCGAAGCAACAGTAAATTACCGATATTACAACACGATGGGTGCCACTTGTGGAGCAGGATCTGCTTACCCTACCGGAGCACCTGAGATAACCCCCGGTTTTTGGTGGATTCGTGTTGCTCAGTCTTAGGCTTTCTTGTTGTGTTTTGTGTACTGTTGTTTGTCTTTTGGTCGTTTTCTGTTTTTGCCATGGCGTTGTCAGTTTATTTTCAACTTATGAGTTTAAATGTTCCTTTGGTATCATTCGTGTCTCTGTTGATAAGGAGCGTTTCTCGATCACACAGACGTACAAGCTAAATTCGAGTCAACAATAGTTTACCGATGCCCAAACCTCAAAAATCCATAAAAAGATACAGATGAAGGTAAAATAAACTGTTGACACAGAGATATGTCTCGCCTGTCGGCATAAAGACAATCTGATGGAAACAACATTGTTTATCAATTCAAAGTCGCTGGACCATGATCTTGTGGGCAGGGCATAGAAATGGTCGAGGCACTGGGATGTACAGACAGTAATGAAACTTTATAGAAAATATCGTTGTCTATTATAAGTAGTCCTATCAATCTAACTAAGAAGAAAGACTTAACGTTGAAAATTGCTAATTAATTCAAAGTCACTGAACCATGTCCTAAGGGCAGGGTCTCAAAATAGTTGTCAAACTGATATGTACTGATAGTAATGCAACTTGAAAGAAAATATCATTGATATATCTAAAATAGTTCCTTCAAAGTGATTTTAGCAAAAAAATATATTTGACAGATTCTAGGGTCTCATGCCTAATAACGGACGCCCATTAAATGTTTTTTTCGAATAAAAAAATTGAGGTTTAGCTATAAAAATGATTTTATTTAAATACTGTGTACAAACCCGGACTTTTAACGTTGTTGACCAAACATTTGAGAAAATTAACACTTTGATGGTGACTTTAATAACATAAGGCGATTTATATTTGCAGGAAAAGTCCTGCGCACTTCAATTATAAACAATCAGATTGTGCTTATGAAAAGAGTGAGACAGCTTACCATGAAGCTTATGTTTCGGTTACTTCTTTTTGTGTGTACAAAATGACGCATGTAACGTAGGTTTTCACACTGGATAAGTCAACAATATTTACAAAAAGTAAAATAACAAAAATATCGAACTTCAAGGAAAATTCAAAAAAGTCCCTTATCAAATGGCAAAGTCCAAAGCTCAAACACATCAAACGAATGGAAAACAACTGTCATATTCCTGACTTGATACAGGCATTTCCTTATGTAGAAAATGGTGGATTAAACCTGTTTTTATAGCTAGTTAAACCTCTCACTTGTATGACAGTGTGTTATAATCTTAATCACTATAAAAACAAAAAAATATGTCAAAAAAGAACAACAAAATGGCATATAGACAAAGCACATAAGCAAAAATGAATGACAAGAATACAAAAAATGACCATAGAAAATAACGCAATGGCGGGATGTATAAGTACCGAGCCACGCCAAAAGGATATTACCATAAATGGACTAAACAGTAAAAGTAATAA